GATCGAGGAGGACCTGCTCGCCCTGAGCGGGCTCCTGGAGCCCCGCCTGGTCCTGCGGTTCCTGAGCGACGCGCACCTGGGCCCCCTGTCCCGGGAGGTCTCCTCCCTGCTCGAGAGGCTGTCCGAGCCGCCGCCGCCCCCCAAGGACGGCGCGGGGCCCGCGGCGAAGACGGGGAAGAGCTCCGGCAGGGCGAAAGCCGCGGGTTAGTCTCGGTGTCGCGGCCCGCCGCTTGCTCTGGCTGGTGTGGGTGTTGAGCACAAGTCACCGGCGTCTCTTGGAGCTGTTTTTCTTTCCTGCCCTGAGTCATCGCGTAGCCTTGAAGGTCATGAACGGGTGCGTGTGGAAGGGGAGGAAAGAATCCTCAAAGACGGCTCGCTGCCTTCCGGGACGCAGAAATAAGTGACGGGGCTGAGTCATTTCTGTCCGGGGGGGGGGGGGGAGTCAGGGGTCCACCAGTAGAAAAGGCCATGGGGGAAGGCGTTTGTGCTGTGTAGGCGGAAAGTGGAACTGAACATTTCTGTTGCTTTTCTGCCTTTTTATTCTGAAATATAAAGAAATAAGAACCCAATGAAAGGGATCTCCTTTAGAATCCATTTGCTGATATAAAGTGATTATCCACTCTGTGTTTGTGCTATACAGTGCAGCACTATATCCTGTACAGTTTTATTTCAGAGCTCTTTTTCCGCGGCACGGCGTGCGTCTATGTTCTTATCACGTTCATGTTATTTTGAGTGGCGTGAGGTGAGAGCTGCAATTGCTGTGTTCAGGCAAAACTGAAATTTTGCAATTTGGAAACCATCCTTTCTGGTCACCAACCTGTAACCTGTTGCCTCTTTTTTAAATAGGCGAATACGATAACATAGGCAGATGTCCAATGGCAGATGCAGACTGCAGTGCACAGTTGCTGATCTCAGGCCCTGTGAACTGGAATCCAGGGCAGCTGCCCGTGTGGATGGTTTGGGCACTGTTTGGCAGTGCAAGAGCTGCCCGTCCCACACACGATCGCTGTGGTGGAGAGCTCCAGGAAAAGCAGAGCCTGTTAAGAGAAATTCCCAGCTTGCTGCTGTTTGAATTGCAGTTCGGTGGCCTCTTTTCCAGCCAGATTGTGAAAGCTCTCCAACTGTGCCTCCTAGAAACCCACCAACTCTCATAACCTCCCGGCTGATTTTGTTATATCATGAAGATCTGCTTGTCTTTGCTTGTTGAATTGTTTGGATGAGGCAGTTTCTTTCCCCTCTTCTTTCTCAGTTAAATAGCATTTTTTTAAAGCATGCCTCTGAGACAAGGAATCCCACAGCACCTTCCCTGGGGAATATACTCATTGGCATCAGATACTGTCAAACCACTGAACCATTAAACAGCTTTCATATAGAGCTGTGGCTGTCTGAACGGTTTTTAACCCTTCTGTCTGGAAAGGAAGAGCTGACATTGTTCCCTGCCGGATGTGAGCGCTGGAGTCTTTGTGCTTCTTTCTTCTCTTTTTCCTGGGAGTAATGGTGTGCAGCTCCAGACAGAGTCAGTCATACAGGTGGCTGCCTGCGCACAAAAGAAAATTTAAACCTTAGTATTTCACCTCAGCAGGCAAGCTTGAATACCATTTCTAAGAAGTCTTTCTCTGCCATATATTCTAAAGATATTTAACATGTATATTAAACAGCAAAAGTTTGGAAACAGGCTACTTATCTATTCTTCTTATCTATTCTTTGATGGCATACTTAGATTACTGTGGCATCTTATTGTCTGCTGTTTAAAAATGCACTACAGATTAATGAATAAATTGTCTCAACAGTGTTTAAGTCAGCAGCCCCAGTATATTGTTTCTGTTCTTGAAAAGCTGTTGGACTGGGGAAGCTGTGTGCATGTTAAAGCTGAGCCCTTCAGTGTCTTTCATGGGCCAATGCGATGCTTTTCCAACTGTTGTGACCTCTTCTTGCACGGCAGGTTTCTTTAGTCTCTCCCCGTTGCATGCTTTTTCAAGAGGGCGCTCTGTAGATGGAAACATTTCGCTCTGGCCCTCTGAACAGTCTCTGAAGATTGCCAGGCTCGGTTGAGAGCCTCTGATGTGTAAGACGTAGGGCCTTCTTCACTACACGGCGGCAATGAGCATGGCAAGCACTCTTCCTACAGTATGTATTGAGCACAGCTCGAGCATTGTGGAACAGGAGCACCAGGAGAGTTGTGTTATAAACAACAAGCAGTCAGAAGTCAGTTGCTTTTCAGTTAAAATGTGATTTTTCACAAAAAACATTTTGAAAGGTCAAGAGTCAAATTTACTCACTGTTGAAAGAATGTTGCAAAACAATCAGACGGATGGAAAGAATGCTGTTAAAAATACCTGTTAGATTTACTCATGTTTGTTCAACATGTAAAGGGTTCATTGAGGCTTAATTTCCTAGCCTTCCTGCTGCAGGAGAAGGATTTGTGACTCTCCTCCAGCCTGCGGGCTCTTGTGTGGCAGCGTCCGCCTCATCACTTTGTCACCCGTTAAGGGAGTGGTCGTGTTTCCTGTTACAAAACGCTCGCTGCTCCTGGGGTGCTGACAGGACATCCTAAATTGTGGTAAACACAGTACCAGTACCAGTACCATAGACCTTCATCCATTTGGAAATCCACCGGATTGACAGAAGGGTTTTTGGACCCATGTGGATCCGTTCAAATGGGATACTCAGTGCTTCTGCTTTGAACATTTTGCAATTAGAGTATTTTGGTCACTTCCATGTTTTCTTCTGTATCTTCTTGGTCTTTTTCCTGCGCCCACTATTTTGTATGTCAAAGCTATTAAGTTTGTTGAAGCTTTTTTGAGGTTTTTACAGTATTTCTCACTTTGGCTTTGGAAAATAATATAGAGAAAAACATAACAAATGTCTAAATACAACTTTGAAACATTTTAATTTTTCGGCGCTCTCATGTGCCTGTACGGCATCAACAAAATGTACCAAAGTTATGAATGCAAAGTGGTATTTTGCGTCTGGGGTTTCTGGGGTGTCTGGTGTTTTGCATCTGTGGTCCTCTAGCCAGCAGGGAAGATGGTTCAGTGTAATGATATCATCTGTCCTCACAAGCATGTGCAGTGCTTTTCCTGGTTAGTTGTGTACATTCTTCCAGCATCTTTATATGTCCTTGCTGTCTGCAAACTCCATGCTGTTTCCTGTCAGGTAGATGTATGAACAGCATGCATTTACAAGGTGTGAAATGAATTATACAAATATCATTACTTTAGTGAATTTGGAAGTAAGTGCTCAATATTACCCAAACCTGGTGGTCAGAATGGCAATATTCTGTCTTTTAGTAACTATGGCCTTTAGTTTCTTTAAAGTGCATGGAGTATTTTGTACTCTGCATGGAGTACACTTCATCTGTATTGCAGTCCTAACCTGACATACCCCTGGGAGGAGCTGTGCTGAAATCTTTCCTACTGTATGTGTTTAATGACCTGGTCTTGGGAATTCCTCAGCTATATAGCTTTTACAGTACAGAAATACAAATCCACATTCACCATTGTTGAACATGATTTCATACCATGCCCTAGTACAGTATAGCTCCGTTGGTTTTTATCTGGATGCATTTTTATCCACTACGCAAAATTGTGGGGACAGGCCTATGTTGCATGCTTTTTCTAGAATACAATACTGTATCTACAATAATGTAGAATGCAAGACAGTATTCTGGAGTGTGTACTGTAGGTTGTTGTATTACACAAGTCTGTATGTGTCTATGCCAGAAAAAATGCCTACCTGCTGTACTCTCTGAATCACTCAGTGAGAAAGGGTTCCTCAGCGCTCCAGTCATTTAGTATGTGGAGGAAATTTAATACTGGAGCGAATTACAGGGAATTACATTTCCCCAAACAAAGTGGCGACCTTTGGTTCTTAGCTGTACAATGTGTATACAGCTAGGGGTGGCACTGTCACCGTGCTCATCAGTTACTCTAAACTGTCCTGTCTTTTTTCAGTGATTTCACTGGAGCAGCCGGCGAGGAGCAAAGTACACCATATGTAGGTGTTTGTGAATATTTTTGTAGGGATCAGTCTGTACATTACCAGTACACTCCTATTTTCAGTTTCTCGAGAACACTGCGCCTAAAAGCCCATGCACTGCTGTGCAGCAGGCACTAAAGTGTGGGAGACGGAGATTGGTGCGACTCCAGAGAATTCAGGGTGTTCAGGAATAGCGCTTGTTAATATTTAATCAGAAAAATACAGCACTAGATTATATCGTTTATGGAGTTTATGCGAATATGATGTGTACATGCATGTGTATGCAATTACAGTAATTACAGGACATTGTGCACTTTGTGTCAACAATATAATTATAATTATAATCTAGCATAATGTTATAAAGATAGCACAAGATGAAGGAATGTGTTTTTATTGAATTTGTTTTTTTAAGAAGGCTCTCTCAATATCTTCTTGTTACATCCTAATACTGAGGAACTTTTGATTGCTCCGAAGTCCCTTAGTCTTAGCTCCCTAACAAGGGGTAATAAATACATGAGCATCTCCACCAAACTGTTTTCCCTCTCTCACTTCATCATAATTTGGAATAGACAAAGGAGAGACTAAAGAGACAAAGGAATGAAAAGTTTCTGTACAATGAGCATGGTTTAAAACCCTTTAGTCATGCTGTGTGTCCTTACAGCGTATTTAAATAGCTTGGTAACTGCTGTTGAGCAAATTGGGTCAGTTTCAGCTGGAAAAACGAGAATGCTTTATTTTTTATCACCAGTGCAAACAGGACAACTGCGGCCTGACAGTGTGGCAAAAAGGCCAACTCTTTTTTTTATTTTTAAAAGAATAAGAGATGAATTGTATATTCAGCTAAGGAGCTTGTGGATCTAAACGCGAAGGCCTTCACTGGGGATACATACAAGGAAAACAGAGAGAAAGAAAACTGACTGCCCCTCAGGGCAGCTTAATCAAGATATCAGAACTTGCCACTTCTCCCTCTCAAATGCCAGGTCCCTGCTGTGGCACAAACGTCCAGCTAGACGATAAGGGGGAGCTGCCTGACAGCGTTGTCTGACAGAGCCGCCACACTCCCCTTTCCCAAGAAACACACCCTGAAGTGCTCCGAACACAAAAACATCGGCAGCTCTTAAATTAAAAAAGAAGTAAATCTCAGGCACTGGCGCGCACTGCCAGCGACTCTTTCGGTCTTCCAGTTCCTTTATTCGAGTCTTCAGACACCCCCTCGAGCAGCGGC